ATATTTACATACATCCCAAATTCCATTTAATTTTCCATCTTTAATTTTGTAATTCCTGGCTTTCAGATGTTTGGGATCATTATGAATTCTTGCCATGTTTTCTGTTGCACATTTTCAGTCCTCACTAAGATGGAAGTAGTGTTTTTAAATAACCAGTTTTGTCTGTTTATTTAACTACATATATTAATTACTTCTATTGTATTGTGCTTTGGAATTAAGAGCCAAATTGAGTGCCTTTTAACAAACCCATGTGTATCATGGAGAAGGGAATGCTGCAGCACAGCCAAAGGGAGGTGTGCACTGAGTGAAAATACTTCTGATGCCCATAAAACAGAATCAAAAGCAGTGGTTCTGCTGAATAATAAATCATGTCTGAATGTGAGTTAGAACTGTGCCACAGCTGGTGTCCACATGGACTGTTATTTTTAGAGGCTTTTATGTACCTGATGAAGGCACCTGTGATTGACTTGTCATTATAGGAAAACATGTGTCCCATACAGAAATTAAATCTGTATAAAAAGTGTCCACTTCTGAGAAAGGGAAAGAGTGAGGGATAATAGCATTCTGTGGTGTTTTCATGCGGTGGATGTGTCAGTGGGGTTCTGCCCTCAGAAGGTCAACACATTTGCACGTTGCTTTTTCCACATACAATCCTCTGAATTGTGTTTGTCACCCAAAGTGTTTGATCAAAAAATGCACTTTTTAAGAGTTCCAGTGATGGAGGGAGTGATAAGGACTACAGAGATGGCATTTTGATCTTGTGGAAAAAACTAAGGAGGAGAAGCATGAGAAGAGCTCCTGAATGGTGGAGAAAAGCGTAGGAATGGAAGAAACCAAAAATGAGAAATTATTGTGAATACTTCTGTAGCATTCACCAGTCCTATTGAAGACAATCAGAACTGCCTAAAGTTCAAGCAATTCCAGGTGACACGAACAATGGCAGAGGAAGTTCTTAGCAGTGCAGAATAGTGGGAGGTGGGGTGTTGGGTGTCTCAGGTGTTATGGAATATCCCACAAAACACAGGAATTCTTTTTGGAGCAAGTACTATCTCCCTGTAGATGGTGTTATTCCCCGCAGATGCCTTTGTTGTCACCTCCTCATTCCTAAACACGGAGTTCCCTCCAGCAGATGGATTGCAGAGTCCAGGCCAGCATCTTCAGAGCAATTTTTGGTGTCATTACAGTGCTTACAGCAGTGATGGCCTGTCATCCTCCAGACAGGGCTCTCTCCTCTTACCCAAACAAACCCCACTCAGAGGAACAGGGTTGTATTGTAGGGCTGGAGACAGTGTTTCTGAGTCACCATTATCCTCGTTCCTGTTGAGATATTAATGGTGCCATTCTTTTTGTGCTGGAGCCAGTGCACCAACTGCCATTCCCTGCAGTATTCCTGTGAGTGACCAGCATGATTGATGAGTGTCAGCTCACAGTTCAGGAAAGGGTATTACAATAGGAGGGAGACGTCTGAGGATAATTAGAAAAGAGCAAGCTGTCCTACCTGTCATAAATGTCAGCAAGCTGTGAATCAATTTGCAATTCTGCTACAGAGAACATTATCATTTCTACATTTTACTACTGACATTGTACAAGACAAATACCAGAAGGTCTTCAGTTTTACTGGTTTTTAAAAATAATTTCCACCTTGTCGTAATTTTTTTTCCCAACCACATTTACATGGGTTGGGCTTTTACAAGGGTTGGGCTCCATACAACTGATGTATAGGTAATATATGAGACTAATAATTGCACAACCCCATGGCAATTGGCTTATATACAGGTGTAAGAGTTCAGATTGTTCCCCTGGCAGCACACTGGTTTATCTATGCCTGTGCAATCTAGGACCAGTGAATAATGTATTTGCTGTCACACTGGTAGTCCCTCTGTGGTAGTGTTAGTTGTGCTACCTGTCAGGAACACCCCTGAAATAATGGTGCTGTTTGTACTGACTGTTCTGGACAAACCTTCTCTGTTCAGGCTGCCTCCAGATGCTCACAAAGTTGTGTTTCCTCAACAGTTGTTGAACAGTGCTGAGTGTTGGCTTGGGCTTTCACAAGTGTGTGCAGCTTCATGCATTCTTTTTTAAGGACCAGAAATATTAATTTTCTGGGAAAAAAAAAATTATTAGGTGAGGTTTAGGTT